ATCTTAGTGAAGTAACAATTGCTTATTTAAGCTATCATAAGGAAGATATATTAGATGCTATAAAGACATATTGCAAACCCATACAGTAGAAAATCTTGGACCTTATCAGCAACTGGATGTGAGACTTGTAACACTATAGAAAACTTTTAAAGGTTGCAACATTCAAATCTCTCTCCTGTGGGTTTCCTATTTCTCTCTCTGGCCAGCTAGTTCATTCTTGATTCTCCATCTGTAGATTGACTTATTTGATTTTTTTCTATCCACATTGTAAAAGGTGGTTGCTTCAAAGAATTTACATCACCTCACTTACATGGCCAGTGGAGAATGTACTCTCCTGACACATTCATGAGAAAGATAATTTAATTGGCTATTTGGGGGGTTGGTTGTCTCCCTGGTGGAAATTTCGGCTATGGCTGAGAGGGCGGAATCACAGGGTATAGGCATGGCTACCAGAGTCTACTATGTGGCTGGGGAATAGTTCTTAGATGAGGAGAGGGTTTTGTAAGCTGAAAAGGATCTACCACATCAAATACCTCAGAGGATCTGAGTGTTTAAATGAGTAGCTGGGATAAATGGAAAAGCTAAAGATAGAAGATATGTTCATTCTAAGCCTATGAATCTCGTATTTATTAAAAAAAAAAAAAACTCTGCATGTATAACCACAAACAATTATAGGCAATATGTTAAGGATAATTAAATGGTAAATGAGGAATTAATTCAGAATGATGTTACCAATGTTAGCAAATTATAAATCTTAAAATTTTGCTTCTGCTTTAATATCATGAGATTGCTAAGTAACATCTTAGGAACTGCTAATCAAATATAGCAGAAGTGATGACTAACCACCCCAGCTTGTATATTCTTTGAGGCACTTTGTATCTTTGTTTTAACCACAGAGCCATTCAACATAATAGGTTCTCAGAAAATATAGTGAATCATGGTATTACTGGGATATATAGATTTTCAAGTGCTTTCCAACTTTTTTTTTTTTTTTTGGTGGTTTCTTGCCTTCAGTTTTTACAGATTATGCATTTTAAGTTGACACACCCATCAATTTTGACTTACATTTTTGGACTCTTGATGAAGAAATAGAAATTCATGGTACTTAAAAACAGTAAAGAAAGTAGTATCTAAGATATGAAGGAATTGAGAGCCAACAAGAATATGGGATTACCTTCTGTATATTTTCTGTAGACAGGATGTATTTGATATTGTATGTAATGCTCTTTGTTCCAGAATTCCAATCTTGGGTGATTTTCCTCTGGCAAATGTCAATCAGAATAGCTTACTTTTATGAAAATTAAAATTTCAACCCATAGGCGTGTGTTTAGAATATATACAATTTGGAAGGTACAGTACGTTATCCATCATGATGTGAAATTGTCAATAAATTATATAGTTATATTTTAATATGAGGCTTCTCATGTTTGTGTCAAGACTGTATAGTAGAAGGTTTAGCTCAATTCAAACAAATTTCAAGTATTCTAGAAATAAGGGCTTTTTTGTTTTTTGAGATATTTAAAAATTCCCTTTTACTAATTTGGATACCAAAATAAAACTTTACCTAAATTTAAATAGTATGTTCCCTCTGGTGGGAGTATTTTCCAGCTGGTGGTGAATGGTATTAGGCAAAAGAGGCAAACAATGAAACAAACACAAATTGCAAACATTTAGCCTGTGGTTAAAATCACACCCATCCCTTTCCTTTTAAATTTTATTTGTATTGTAGATTTTTTGTACTGAGGATTAATTTACAGAGTTCATTCTACTTTAGAGACTTTTTAATTTGCTTATAACAATGTTTTCATTAAGGCTCCTTATATACTTTTTAATAAAATTCAGCAATTTTGTTTTTTAATTTGCTGGTGTGTTGTATGGCTGTATGGTAGAAGTAAAGAAATGCTTTAAGGAACATATAAATTGGGGGTATTTTATTTAGTAAGGACTGCTAATATCAGGCAGTTTTTGATGACTACCTATTGAATTATGTGGAAAATGGATGTTTTAGGAATTCAGGAAAGTGTATAGCCAACTAGAGTAGCCTGGGAAGGGCTTATTGAAGAAAAAACACTGGAATTGTTCTTGGAAGGGTTTGTTGGTATTTATTTAGGAGAGAGGGTAATCTAGATTAGGCCTTCTAGAAATGAGAATGCCCACATACATTCAGGGAAGAGTTAAGTAATTTTGGCTGCAGTGTTGGGTTCACATTTGAGAGAATAAGATACGCTTGGAAATACATATTGAAATTAGAATGTTGTAGATAATGAAGGGAGTAGCCTTCTGATGATAGCAGCAGTGTTTTAGACTCTCAGTTTGTTGATTGCATGTGAGAAGTACTGGAAGAGTAAGAGATGAGAGGCAGAAAATTAAATAAAACTACATGAATTGAACTAAGTTGATGGCTCTCAAAATGGACAGAAATGGCAAACTAATAGAGAGATGAGGAACAGTCATTAATGATCTTGAGGACTAATTTCTTTATGGGCACAAAAGATATGAGAATGTATCAAAAGATAGTTCTGAAGGTTTAAAGCTGGAAAGTAGTGAAAATAAGAAACTACCAACAAACAAAAAGAAGATAGAAGGAATTAATGTTTTTAGGGGAAGATGATTTAGATTTCAGAGAAGTTGATTTTATCAGTGAAATATGTGAATATATATTAAGCATGCAGAAGCAGATGTACGCAACTGGGATTCAGGAGAGAAATCAGGAATAAATCACATTGTGATAAAGTAAACAGTAGCTGTAAAGGCTACTTTTTAAAGTTTGGGACTCAAAGACAAAATGAAAATAAGATTATGACCAATGCAAGATTTTTGTTCAAGCTGAAGAAGTTTGTGTTTGCAGATTGAAAGGAGAAGTGGCCAGATAGGAATAGACTAACAATGCTGAGTGGTAACAATTAAGGGAACTTTACTGATGATGAGAAAAGGAACAATGATCTTAAAATACCTGTTTTGAGGTCAGTATTTTATTTTACAATGCCTCAGTCATTGGATTCTAGGACAGTGAGTGTCTCAGAAAAGTTGCTTGGATTAGCGCATTTTCACACTTTGGTAGAAACACCATTCTGTCGTGTTGGTGTTAATCATCTGAAATATGACTGAAACAGTGCATTTATATATATATATCTTTCCGTGTTATATTAATTTGAAATTCTTTTCTGGTTTACTAGTTTTCTTTTGATCACAGGTGGTTGAAAATCTTATTAGCAACAGCGCCAAATCTACAATTATAATTGAGTCCCTGAGTTGAGTTGTTACTAGAGACCCAACTCAATATTCTCTCTGACCATTGGGTAGTTTGGGTGATGTATTAACAGGGATAGTATTTATCATATTATTTTAGCCACATATTGAATAATACTCTAGTGGCTTCATAAATAAATAAAAAATATTTACCAGTCTATTGACATGCTTTATATTTTCCCAGTGCAATCCTTATTGTACAGAAAAGGAAATACAAGTCCCTTTACCACCACCTATAGACCTGTAATTATTTGGGTGCTCTGGTGTTGGGTGCATATAAATTTACTATTGTTATATTCACTTGCAGAATTGACTCCTTTATTAATTACCTTTTTTGTCTTTTTGTACAGTTTTTGACTTAAAGCCTGTTTTGTCTCATATAAGTATAGCAACTCCTACTCTGTTTTGTTTTGCATTTGTATGGAATGCCATCTTCCATGTCTTTACTTTCAGTCAGCGTGTGTCTTTACAGGCTGAGTTTCTTGAATTCACCATTTTATTGGGTCTTTTAAATTCATTCAGCTGCTCTATATCTAATCAGGGAATTTTCATTTACATTGTGTTATTATTGATAGGTAAGCTTTCACTGCTGGCATTTTCATAGTTGTTTTGTAACTCTTACTGTCTCTCTCGTAGCATGTTTTAATTTGCTGCCTTTTGTTTTTAGTGTATCTATTATGGGTTTCTGCTTTGTGATAATTGTTTTAAATTGGATTGATTTTATAAGTAGAACCTGCTGGCAGTAGTTAATTTTTTTTAAGACAGAGTCTTAAGACAGAGTCTCGCTCTGTCACCAAGCAGTGGTATGATCTCGGCCCACTGCAGCCTCTGGTTCAAGTGTTTCTTGTGCCTCAGCCTCTCAAGTAGCTGGGACTATCGGTGTGCACCATCATGCCTGGCTAATTTTTATGTTTTTTAGTAGAGACGAGATTTCACTATGTTGGTCAGGCTGGTCTCAAACTCCTGACCTTAAGTGATCCTCCCATCTCAGCCTCCCACAGTGCTGGGATTACAGGCATGAGCCCCCATGCGGTTGATTTTTTGTAAAGCAGTTGCTTTTCTTGTGTTGAAACTCTCAATATGAGTAGTGGCTATGGAACTTCTTTGCAGGTCAGGACCTCTTAGCTTCCTATGGCCTCTCTATACCTCTCATTGGCAAGTTGTTGGAGTATTTATCTACTATGTGTTATAGTGAGGGGTAAGATCATGGACTCTATAGTCCACTAGGGATCACTTTGCAGGTCTTGAACCTCTGTAAGCCCCATTTCGTTATCTATAATCTGTGAATTTATCTGTTAAAACTTTTGTGCTTTAAAGGAGATAATACATTTTACATGGTTCACATGTTGCCTGCATCATAGTAAGCCCTCAGTAAATATTATGACAGCACTGCTGTTAATGCTGCTGTAGTTCAGAATAGTGACGATTAAATTGTAATTAAAGAGGAATGTTGATTAACTCACTCAGCACAATACCCGGCATGTAGTAGATACTGAATAAAAATGTTCCTTTTACTCCCATGTTCAAATGCCCACTACACCCTCTTCCCCATGAATCTGTAACAAGTAGATGACTTACTAGCTATAATGAATCTTTTCTTAGATCCCCAACTTGAAAAATGAATGACCAGGTTAATATACCCCTGAATGTCAAGGATGAGGTTTTATAATTAGATTTGCATGGTTTTAAAATAGTTTTTCTTAATAGCGCATTATAAATTTGTACATTAACTGGTTTATCTGGTTGTATAGATGCTGTTAACTGAGTACTTGGATATGAAAAATACTCGTACGGCCTCTGAACCATCAGCTCAATTGAGCTATGCAAGCACTGGACGTGAATTTGCAGCCTTTTTTGCCAAGAAGAAACCTCAAAGGCCAAAAAATTCTCTTTTCAAGTAAGTATTATTCTGCTGGTAAGAGAATAGGTTTTAAGAATTGTTAGACTGAAATAAGATGACTTCCAACCTTATTGATAGTCATAACTTTCTCTAGCTGAAGTTGATTGAAGTAATTTAGAGGAAGTGAATATATGTTGACTTTTATTTACTTTTGTTTTCTGTCAGGTGAAGTGTCTGTTTGGGTATGGTTACTGGACTACCTGGAACTCCTAATAAAAATTTCTGGAACTTGTTTCAGGGGAGTTTTGTGTAAAATTAAGGGAAATGAAAATCCCCAATTGTTTCTGGGGAATTTTATATGAAATGAAAGGAAATGAAATATGTCAGCCTTCAAAAAGCTCCAAGAGCCAAGAAACAACCTTTGTTAATAAAGTTATGCAAATATCTCTAGCTATGCAGTATTGGGCCTTATGTGGTTATCTGTTTAATAAAAGAACAATCTGGGTTTTTTTTTTTTTTTTAATTACTACCTCAGTTAACTCTACCAAGCCCTGTGCCCAAAGTGTATCTTGCTTAGCAACAGCTGATAGTTAACAATGTTGATAATAACTTCAGTAATAACAACAGCTACTGTTAACTAAGTGTTTCCTAGGTATCAGGCACTGTACTGGGCGAGTTTCCCAAAATAATCTCAATTAAAGATACTTTAAATTGGATTATACTAAATTTCAGTAGCAGCAGCAGTAGCTAACATTTACTGAGTTCCTACTAAATGCTAATTAGGGCATTAAATAATTTTCATAGATTATTTTATTTACTCATTACAATAACTTTATAGGCAAGGGTTGTATTTTTTAATACCTTTGTACACATAAAAACATTGAGACATGAGAGTTTAAGTAAGTTATATAAGGTGACATAGCTAACAAGTGGTAGAAGGAGGATTTACATCCTGACAGTTTTACTTTAGCCCTGTTTTCTTTTAAGGATTTAGTAGATATTTAAGAATTTGTGTCTGTAAATATAAGCATGTACAGTGACTACCACGGAAGTATTCCAGTATATTGAATTTTTTTTTCAGCAGTTGAAACTCTAATACCTTCTATTGATTCATGTTTGAGGCTTGTTTTTATCTTAGATTTGTAGTGTTTTTAAAGTTTCAACACTTTATTTTGTGATCTAGCAGAGAGAAGATTTATTTAGTATGTCCCTGCCAGAATGAAATCTATTTTGTTTATTGAATGCATTGCTTTTTAAACAGTTTAATTCAGAGTAGTTGCAATATCAGTTAAAATGCTTTAGGCTGCAAGTAACATAAAACCCTAAATACAATAGATTGAACTATAGGAAAGTTATTATCTCACATAATAAAGATGAATGTGGAGGTTTTCTTAATTCAACTGTACAATATCATAAAGGACTCAACCCTTTCCATCTCTCTGCATTTTCATCCTCCACACATTAGTAATGTTTTTTATTGTGATAACAAGGTGTATCCATCGGCTCCAGTCCAATAAAGACAGGGTTGAAAATAAAATAGTATGTGATTCTTCCTGTGAATCTCTCTTTTTTTTTTTTTTAATATAGACTATTTTTTAGAGCAGTTTTAGGTTTATAGAAAAGCAGAGCAGGAAGTAAAGAGAGTTCCCTTATATTTTCCCCTTCTCCCCATTTTACCCTGTTAACATCTTGTATTAGTGTGATCTGTTTGTTAGAATTGATGATCCAGTATTGAGATGTCATTTTTAAGTTCTATAGTTTACATTAGGGTTCACTCTGGTTGTACAGTTCTGATGGGTTTTGACAAAGGCATAAGATCATGTATCCACCATTGCAGAACAGTTTCACTGCCCTAAACATCTTCCATTTACCACATATTCATCCCTCCAACCTCCCTAATCTCTGGCAACCTCTGATCTTTTGACTGTCTCCATAGTTTTTGCGTTTTTCAGAATGTCATATAGTCAGAATCATACAGTGTGTAGCCTTTTCGAAATGGCTTCTTTCACTTAGCTATGTGCATTTAAGTTTCCCCCACATCATGTTGTGGTTCTATAGATATCTGTTTGTATTGCTGAGCATAACATTCCTTTGTGTGGATATGCCCTGGCTTGTTTATTTACCTATTAAAGGACATCTTGATTGCTTCCAACTTCGGGCTATTATGAACAAAGCTACTCTAAACACTCATGCAGATTTTGGTGTGGACATAAATTTTCAATTCATTGTTGTAAATACCTGGGAGCCACATTGCTTGGTTATATGGTAATAGTATGTTTAGCTACCTAAGACGCTGTCAAACTGTGTCCTAAAGTGGCTGCACCATTTAAAAATTTTAAAATTAATACTAATTATCAATTTATCCATCATTTCTGCTAGTGACAAAGCCCCTCTGCAAGCTCCCATTAAGCTCTAGGATTGGGTCTTATACCCATTTCTAAACCAGTCACTGGCAAGGTGAAGCAGATCTCAGTGGTTGCCTTAAACTAGGCAGGTTCCTCTCTGGTGCTAGGTTTCCAGCTGGAGAGGAAGCCGCTTTTTCTGAGCACATGGCTGAGTAAAGAGCAAGGACGCAGAATGTCCAGATGGAATCAGGGCTATGCCAGCAAGCACAAAGATTGTGGAAGGAAAAGGTGGTTGGTAGAGGCAACTGAGACTGTCTGAGATGCACCTGACCAGGCCCTTTCCTTTTTTTTTTAGTTTCTCTTTTTTCTTTTCTTTTCTCTATTTCTGGCTCAATTTAGCCTTCTAAATATGGAATAGTTTCAAAAAGCAGGCTGTAGGGTTTTTAGAGTTCATGCTCTCAACCATCACTGCTGACTTTCAACCTCAGTCAGACCGCATACACATTTTCAAACATTTAGCCAATGCTTCTCGAAGTTGTGGTATTGGAAAAATGTATATAAATTATTGGAAATGAACAAGTTATCTTAAATAGTTGTTACATATTTATTATTACTGGGCAGTTATGAAACTTATCACAGACACAGAATTAGGCCGTTGTTATAGATTTGTGTATTTCCAGCCTTGGTTCTATCATGGAACCCACGTGTGCCTGAGCAGGTCTCATTGCCTCTGTGCCTATAAAATAAGGAGGTGAGACTCAATAATGTCTAGTGCCTCTTTTACTGCAAAATTGTGTCAATCTGTGACTTGTTGCAGGCACAAAAAGAATTCCTAAGTAGCAAAAATACATCAAGTCATAAAGAATTAAGATTTTGGGGAGCCATAATCTGTGTTTATCACATCTGTGAAGGACTTTAGTACCTCTTTAATTGCCCCAGCTAAGGTTAATTAAGTGTGTTTAAGTCCAGCCTTATTGTGCTATGCGTGCCTTTCTATTCGTTGCTTAAGAGTTTATTTTTTTTCTTTGCCATATCTGATCAATAGCTGTCAGCATGCTTTTTGGAGGTCAGTGGCTTCTTTTCTGCACTTGACTGGCAGGTGGCACGTTTGAAGTACTGCACACTTTGCCTTCTTTCTGGCTGTTAGTGCCCTCTTAGTTCTTGGCAGGGTGCAGAGAGGGGATCAAGTAACCCAAGTGTTTCCTTCACAGACTGACATTCATCTCAGTATTCATCTTCCTTGTCAAGGAAAGGATAAAGAAGGCGTATTAAGAAAATGATGGTGTGCCTGCCTTGTTGCCAGAAACCTATCCCATTAGCACGGTTGCTCTTACTATGTTGCTGCTTACCCCTTAGTGGCAGTCATTCTTAGAAGGATTCTTTCGTCTGGCAGGTTGTTATCCTGCCTTTGAAATCTCAGTTTGAAATGGAATCTCTTAGCACATCAAAGGATTTACTGTTTGAAATAGTCATAATTTTATCTGGTTTTTTTCTTACCTGCACGTTTCTCTTAAGACTAATTTGTTTTTGTTATTTCTCTTTATAGTTATTATTTTAGGTTTTAGAGACCTGTTCTTTATCATGAGTCTCTCTACCTCCCTCCTTCACCTGTGTGTCTAATCTCTGAAATAGTTCCTGGGTAGGTGTGAACAAACATTTTGTAGCTTGGTATTTTTGAGAGTATTTTACATGGTAGGCAGCAGGTCAAAAAACTAGCAGCCATTTGGAAAAAAAGGCTGTTTTTTAGGCCAGTTAGGGAGAGCCCATAGATGCCTTGTTTGTCTGGTGCCATTATTCAGCTGCATTTCTAGTATGACCTTTGTCTAGTCCTCTACCTATGGGAGGTAGAAAGGTACAAGTTCTGCTCTGAGGATCCAGTGTGTCTTTGTTGGCAGCTGGCAGTCACTGGTGGCTTTTGAGATGGATGGTAACGTAATTTGAATGACTTCATGGGATGCTCTTATTGCTGCTTGTGTAAGGATCCTAGCAAAGGCTGATGGGGATCTGAAGGCAAAAGGAAGTTGGGGCAAATCAGAGTTGTGGCAGTTGAAATGGAGAATAAGCAGAAGATCCAGATATGGTTGTAAAGGAGCCTTAGCCAGGATTATCATTCATAAATCAAGGTCTGTGGCAGCTGGCCCTGGCCCTGTATAGCCAAAGTGTCGTCATTATAGAACATTGGGGAGAATCACACAGACTAGAGTAGAATACATGGAGGACAGCACTGATTCGGTTGACACCTGTTTTGTCTGTTTCCCCTGTGTTTCATTACAGGTTCGAATCGTCCTCCCATGCCATCAGTATGAGCGCCTATCTGCGAGAACAGAGAAGGGAGCTCTATAGTCGGAGTGGAGAACTGCAAGGTGGGTGATGGGGCTTCTCTGGAAAAATTAATTTTCCAGAGGAATATTTGGAGCCTTTATTTCACATGAGTTTGTGGCCTGCATTCACAGGATTCTTTCAAGATAACAAATACTTAATGACTTAATGATTTGTTTCTTCTATAATTTCCCAGCAACTGCTGCCAAGCAGGTAAAACTATTACTGTGGCCATAGGACTTATAGATGTGCTACTGTTCAAGTGGGAATTCAAAGCAAAAAGAGATGAGGCCAGCCTCATCTTGCTTAGATAGAAGACCTGAGTCCAGTTACAGTCTAGGAGAATGCCTGTCTTCTGCGACTGCCACTGTGACTTTTAACTGTTGTTTTTGACACCTTCTGGAATATGACAGGGGTCCCTGAGATTTGGGAAAGGGCAAATGCAACCACTGCCATTATTTAAAGGGGAAAAAAATGCCTATAAAGATTATGTTATAATCAACGTAAAGAGTATGTTATAATCAACATAACTGATACACAGGATGTTTGATACCCATATATGGTTACCAAAGAGTTGTAAACTGAAGAGAATATTTAGAAAATAAATTAAATATTAATACATTAAAAAATCAGACTGTTAACGTTTTCTTCTGGGACAAAAAGATGCTAATTATAGTAAATGTAATAAGTTATAAAAAATTTAGAAGTCAGGTACGGTGACTAATACCTGTAATCCTAGCACTTTGGGAGGCTGAGGCGGACATTTCTCTTGAGTCCAGGAGTTCAAGACCAGACTGGACGACATGGTGAAACCCTGTCTCTACAAAAAGATAAAAAATTAGTTGGGCATGGTGGCATGTACATATTCCCAGCTACTCAAGAGGCAGAGGTAGGATTGCTTGAGCCTGAGAGGTGGAGGTTTCAGTAAGCTGAGATCACACCACTGCACTTCAGCCTGGGTGACAGAGTGTGAGGGCCTGCTAAGTGTAAGACATCTTAGGTATGTGAAGTAATGGAAGTTGGGTGTAAAGAAATATAAAGCCTAAAAATCTAGTTATGAAAGTAAAGTGTGTGTGTGTGTGTGTGTGTGTGTGTGTGTGTGTGTGTGTGTTTATGTCAGCAATATCAGGAAGTAAATACTAACAACTGAGTGGATGGTGTGGATAAATTGCTAAAGAAGTTACAAGAAGGGAGTGATTACTTAAATTATTTTAGAATTCTGGGCTTTTCTCCATGAAGGATGGGAACGAATACTTTTACTGTCTTTGATGCATTGGGAGCAGTTAGCATTTTGCAGTGACTGGCCTGTGTAATTAAATATTTAGTTTTTAAGACTCATAATTCTGTACCAAAACACTATGAAATAACTGCTCAACCTTTCTTTATTTAAAGACTATTGCCTTGTCATTCCTGACTTCAGCTTTATTATTAATAGAATAACCTCTAAGTTTTTCCAAAGATGCTGCTGTACTCTCTCATATTTATATCATAGTAATAGTTCTGTAGCCCATATGTGTGGTCACAGAAGTAAAAGCCTAGAACTATGTTCAGGGTATTAGGAAAAGGAGATTAGCCTACCAACCTTTTATTTACTATTAAAGCGTTGTCATACCTTCTGGAAGACATGCGGTATGCATGTTGAGAGTCTTGATGTAGAGGAGTACAGGCAGTAGTTTGACTTGGAACAAGTGAAAGGACAGAAAGTAGTGAAGGAGGAGGGTGACCCATGCTCTAGCAGGCTGCTGCCTCCCAGGAGAATAGGCTAGGCTGCGAAGAGTGAACGGAAATGATGGTAACAGAACACACATTCTTGCAGAGGTAGGATTGTGCTGGAGCTGCCCTTTGCTGGCTGTCTAAAGCCAGTGTATCTTCCACACTCACGGTGTCCTAATTTTAATTTCTCTTCAGAGGTGGCTTAAGGAATAGTTTAAATTTGCCTCCATATTTTCTCTCCACCTGTCCTCTAATACACATGAATTTATTTAATGGTGACAAAGTGTCTTCTTTCTTCTTTTTTAGTTTGAGTCCTGATTATTTTCTTTCTTAAAAATTAATAAACATTATCTGTGAGAGCAGTTATAAGGTCACAGCTAAATTGAGTGGAAAGTACCAAGTTTCCATATGCCCTTGTCCCCACACATGCTTACCTTCCCCCAGTGTCGATGTCAGCAGCACAGTGCAGCCTTCCATGCGACCCTTCCACATGAACCGGCAGAGCATGTCCCTGTGGTTATGTAGGGACAGGGGACCTCTCATCGCCCACTCACACTCAAGCACAATTAGTCAACAAGGGCACAGGACTGGTGGCAGATTCTTTCTGCTTCTCTGAGTGAGAATGGAGAGCACTCTGTGCAGCAGCCATGGGGAGGCTTTTCAGTCCTGCTCCAGTGGTCCACGTGCTCTTAAGAGACAGCATAGGGTGGCAGTGCAGAGTAGGCAGCTCTGGCCCCAGGTTGCCTCCAGTTAGAAACCTAGGTCCCCAGCACTTGCTTTGTAACCTCCGGCAACTTCCGTGGTCTCTTTGCCTCTCTTTTCTTTTCTCTAAATGGGAGTGAAAGTAACACTCCGTGCCAGGCGTCAGTGGCTCACTCCTGTAATCCCAGCACTTTGGGAGGCCGAGGTGGGCAGATCACAAGGTCAGGAGATTGAGAGCATCCTGGCCAACATGATGAAAACCCATCTCTACTAAAGATAGAAAAAAATTAGCTGGGTGTGGTGGTGCATGCCTGTAATCCCAGCTACTTAGGAGACTTAGGCAGGACAATCACTTGAGCCAGGTAGTTGGAGATTGCAGTGAGCCAAGATCGTGCCACTGCACTCCAGCCTGGTGACAGAAAGAAACTCCGTCTCCAAAAAAAAAAAAAAAATGGTAACACTCCATACTCCATGAGGTGGTCGTGAAAGTTAGGTGAGTTAAGCTAGGAAGTGTTTCAAAAAGTGTGTGACATATACTGAATGCTATGGTTTTTTTCTTCTCTTTTGATTATTTCTAGTACTGTGGTGTGACTTCAGAGTTTTCACACACATTCTGTTTGTCCTTTCTGTCATCTTTATATGGCTAAACCCTCCTGAGCTTTCCAAGTTAAATTTAGGTGTCACTCATTCGGATGTGCTTCCTTGCTGGTCCCGCCTCTCAGCCTGTCACAAATACACACACCTTCTGGGGTTGTGGCCCCTGCTATGTGTTACTGCCATGTCTGTAATGATGTTCTTCTGAGTACCTTCCGTACTGCATTGTGAAACAGTGCTAACTTGTTTGGGTTTTTCACAAAATTATAAGCTCCAAGAGTAAAATACTATTTTATTTTTTGTGCTTTGCACAGCTCCGGGTACAATAAATGTTTGATAAATGCTGGTTGACTTAGTGGCAGAATGAATGAGGACAGTTAGGATCTAAACCAGGATAGAGAGCACCATGGAGAGGCAGGAAGGGCCTGAAAGGAGCTACTGTCAGCTTTATAGGTTTCCATTAGTCTTTAAGTTGAAGGCAAAGTAGAGGGTATACACATAGGGTTTTGTCCTCTGCAGTTACAAGCTTTATTAAGTAGAAATGTTGCCCTTGAGCTGTCTGGTCCAAGACAAAGCTACTGTATGTAATTGAAAAACATTTTCAAATGTAAGTGACAGAGAAATTTTACTCTGATGTGAGGATGGTTAATGGAGAAATCACTATAATCTAACTAGGAATTTTCCTATCCTTCAAAAAGTTAATTGAAATATGAGCTTTCAAGCACTAGTTTATCGAACCTACCAGTTTTCAGCAAGGAATATTTCTGGTTACAAGAGAAAGTAATAGTTAGCAAACACGTTATGTTCCTAATAATCATTAGAAATACTTTAGATGAGCTAGCATATTGCACACTTGGTGAGAGAATGAATGAGTGGACCAGTTTTTGTAAAAGTCTGATGGTGTTTCATGCAGTAGGAAAAGTTTCTCTGATGAACATTTTTAACATTTCAACAGGAAAAAAGAGAAGAAAATCATACCTGTCTTCTATTAAAAATGGCTGTCCTTTTTCAGTTATTTCATTAATCTGGCTGGTCTAAGGACCACAGTAAGATCTGCACTACAGCTTATCCCCGAAAAGGCGTAATTGAATAGTTCAGTCAAACCGTAATAGACAAGGGGAAGATTTTTGTTTCTTCTGTTAACACCACATAGCTGTAGGCTTTGCTTCCCAGTGGTTTCGGTTCATAGGTCAACTTTTCCTTCTGTTGCAGGGGAGCGGCAAAGAAATCCACCAGAAAGACAATCAAAGTAATGTTAAAAAACTCAAATTTTACAAAAGTTAAGTTCCTGCCAACATTTTCAATTTATCATACAATTAGAAATGTTACTCAGTCTAACAACGTACAAGGGGATAAAAGGATTTAAAAAATGAGATTTCTTTGGTGTTATCAACCCATCTCAATAGGCTCTGACTGTTATGGTACAGATGGTTCATTATATAGTCTGCTGTTGGCAGTTGGGCTGCGGAGATGGGGGTGCTGCTTCAAAATGTGTGAGATACCAGGTGGAAATTTAACTTGTGGATGTGTCTGTGTTAATCATAAGCTTCCCGTGGTTTTAGCCTCTGCTGCTTCATTGTACTTAGACAGCAGTGTTGTGAGTGAAGAAAGATACAAGTTTTAATGGACATTTAATTTGAATATAGTTTCTCAGGTTTAATGTGTAGTTCTTCAGGGGGATAGATGAATATATTATCTGGTAAGGGTTAAAAAAAATAATCTGAAGACTGCCACTTATGACCAAATAAGCTCACAGGTTTATCTGCTTCAGTTTTCTCATAGGAAAAAAATAGAAATGTTATTAGTCCTGACTACTTTAGGGGAATGTTGTGACTATTAACTTAAATATTAAATTATTAATATTAGAAATTTCTAAATTAGAAAAATTAGAATAGCAATGTTGATTTACGTTATAAAGTGGTGTTTTAAAAAGTAATTGTGGGTCTGGCACGGAGTCTTATGTCTGTAATCCCAGTACTTTGGGAGGCCGAGGGGGCAGATCACTTGAGGTCAGGAGTTCAAGACTAGCCTGGCC